GGAGGCCCGGGCGGTCCTTGCGGTCCCATCAAACCGGATGGTGCATCTTTTCCTGGATGTCCAGGATTTCCTGGTTCTCCGGGATCACCTAAATTCTTTTGTTTTCAGACAATGATAGTATAAGATTTTGACGGCGATATTCATGATGACTATGTTCTTTATGAAATTAGTTTAAACGAACTGATACCTTTATTAAACTCACTTAATTGGTAAAACTAATTGCAAATAACAATTGTCGATGCTTGACCAAAACACTTGCACTTATATCGAGGTGACAGTGGATGCATTCACATGCTTAGATTTGACTTGCGCTGTAAGTCGTTTTAACCTGATTTTTGCGTTCGAATAAGTTGAAGCTGAGGTTGCATGATTGTGTAGAGACCTGCAATTTTGCTACGCGTATTAAATGAAACGATGACGATCACAATTCATTCCAAAGTATGTTGAGAAACTGCGTCAAAGATGAAGCCTGCATATTATTCATGCTAAGATAGGCTTAAACGTTTGAAACTAACCCCTGACAGTGGAAACTACGTTTTTGGCCATTGGATAAGAATAACTGATTTAATCCTAATCGATAGTAAGCTATATTATCCTAGGCGCTGCACAGCTGCACATGCTGCAAGGATCAAACCAGAAAAGTAGATCTTAGGCTTTGATATGTTTGACATTGTTTGCAACAGACTAATATAAGCATGGAAAAATTAAATTAGAAACATTGGAAACATGTTTGGCCATGGTCGGGATTCAGATATCCAAAAAACCTCGGTGTACAGCCGTTGCTTCTGCAGATTGAGAAGTCACAGCTGCGATGGCTTATGAACGTTTTGAGAATGTTTTCAAAATGGAAGGTAGAACAGTTACTACTTGCTCAACCGACTTTGACTGACCGGCGTTTGGCGCTCGCAATGTTTTCGCTAGATGTACAGACCACAGTGAAGGAAGAGCTCAGCAGAGCTCAGGAAGTTTCTGCCGGCGTCAGCTATTAAGTATCTTCTACACTGATGAAATCTTCAGTACATATGTACATATTAAATTCAAAAAATAATGGCATCTGCCGTACAAAAGAAACTGGCTATTTTACTCAATTGTCTGTAACATTCTCCAAAAACCTCGTACGAGCAGCAGTCTCATTTTATGACTCATTTGTTGCATTGCAACTACCTAAAAAGTAGCGCGTTTTTGTCATTGGCTGCGAGAACGTGTAACTAATTGGGTCTCAAAATAGAAGCGCCTGAAAACACCCAAACATTTATGACTTCAAGAAACACATAACCTTGAAATTTGGAAACTATCTGTGGTTACAACATATGTTATACGTTTCCTTCGTAAAGGCTTAAAATGCAGAATGCCGTGTCTCCAGAACAAATGAATGCAGCAGAAAAATAGCATGTAGTTTAACTTACTCATTTGGCATAACCGAAGAACAAGCAGCGCCAGTTAATCAACCACGTTCTGCAAACACTATGAAAGACTGATCTGGGCTATTGAGGTTTAAGCACTATTCATGAATTAATGTCGACGTGGCCTTAGGTTGGTTGAAGGCAAAACTCCAATAAGTACAAATTTCGTGTCCTTAGAGCTGTAGAAATTAAGATGAACATTTAATAAAGATGCGATTGAAGA